ATAGGGAACAACCGACTATCTACCTCGGGATCCAACCATCGTCACTACCTCGAAGGTCGATGTTTCATCCTTTCCATGACTCGCGCAATCAGTTGCCCAACAGACAGATTTTGTCTGATGCTGTGCACCTAGACAATGTCTCTCAGTTTGTAACACATGTACGACACATCAGATGCACTCATGCCAATTACGGATGCTGTTTCACGAATGCATCATATCAGTTTAACAATGGGGACTAACAGTGATCTGACCGTCATGGTTGCAGCTTGGCTAGCTGATTCCAATATTGATTAGCTGCCTTCTCCTGGCCGAAAGTAGTAAGAGTCTGACTTGCGAAAGGTGACTCAAAACAATGCCGACGCCAGCTTGACCGGCATTTGAAGGTGCATCATCGCCAGATAGGCGCAATGAGAATGTGCCGCCAGTGTCGCATGTGGTGGATCACAGGGTAAGCACGGAGCTCGAATCTTGCAGGCGGATTTCTGATACACAGCAAACATCGATCGATAGGGTCTCTAGTGTGTGGGCAAGTGCTGCCTGTTGGCCAATCTGCAGCAAAGTGCGCACGTTGAGGCATGCCAGTCTTAGCGAGACACGAGGACTCCAAAGGGAAACGGGTGAACTGACGTTGTCCGTTTGGTTGAACATGGACTTGTCGACTGGATTGGAGCGACGCCCTGCGCTTGTGTGTGATTTGCAATTAGAAGACAAGCGACTATTGAAGTAAGCTGGGGGAGGGCCAAGAATTAGGGGATTGATGCAACTCCAGAGGCAAGTAAATCTGCTAACGAGCTCTAGGCTGACACCCGAAATGGTGAGCGTAAGCACAGGCGCCTGCCAATCCTGGAGCACTTGAATGGAGCAAAATACAGACTGTACTTAGATGCTTCTATAACTAAGCGGTTCAGAATGCTTTTAACAGACTGCGAGTCGTTCCCTAGCAAAGCGATCTCATCCGCTTAGTCTAGGTTCACGACTCTGCTCTCGGGTAGAAGCTCAACGCCGCAGCTCTGGGTTCCTTCCAGTGCGCGAAGTATGACATCTTCGATGGCAAAGTTGAGCAAAAACGGCCAGATAGGATTATCTTGGCACACTGCACTGGTGATAGGAAACGAAGAAGAAAGCCTGCCATAAGCCTTAACTTTGCCAGATGTGTGACTATACCGCTTTTTCAAGAGTATGATAAAATTGTCGGGAACGCCTTTCGGTAGTAGACAGTTCCACAGGGACGATCTATCTACTGAATCGAAATAATAATTATCATCATTATACATGTTAGCTGCAGGTGGTGAACCTCTCAGCTATTGTGCCGCAACACAAAAGACAAGATGGCGATTGAACTGTTCGCTGAGCTGGGCAATTTTGTTGCAAACGTTTCGTCACCAATCGAGGTGATATCATCAGTGCGTAGTTGAGTGACGTGCAGTAGTGTAGAGTAGCGTAGAGGAGCCTCGGTGTGAGTGCCACTCTCTTTATGTCTGTCGACCTGATGGGCCAGGGTTTACAATCATATAGGAGAGTTGAACGGATGGCTGCGTTGTAAACTCTGCCCTTGAGGGCGAGAGTAATGTCGCGTCTGCGCCACAGGTGGCGGAGATTGGCAAAAGCACCTCGAGCTTTTGCTATACGGTTCGTAACCTCATCTTCAATCCCACGCGTGCTAATATAGCTGCCCAGGTACTTGAATTTCTCAACGACTTCTAGCAGGTCACCACCAAGCGTTAGCGCAGGGTTGGGTCCTTACCAATCTTGGAGAAGTACTTTGCATTTTGATGGAGCAAAGCAAAGCCCGAAGCGGCTGACAGCTAGTGCTAATCGGTCCCGTGCTGTTTGGCATGTTTGGGAGCTGTCAAAAATTAGGGCAATATCGTCCGCATACTCCAAGTCAAGAAGTCGCTCACCAGGAAGTAGCTCCACACCTTCTAGGTCGTGTCCAGCGAACGCTGTTTCCATGACTTCATCAATAGCGAAGTTGAAGAGGAAAGGTGACAGCGGGCATCTTTGTCTCACACCGCTGGTGATACTGAAGGGTGGCGACAGTTAGCCATAACCCCTAACTCTGCCCCGAACTATGTGTACTGCGTCTTGATGATGTAGACTTATTTATCAGGCACACCTTTCCTCAGCAGACAGTCCCAAAGGGCACATCTATCGACTGAGTCGAAGGCACCTTTTATGTCAAGAAACAGGACAACGGTGGGTCGTCAATAAACATGACGGTGCTCCAACACTTGACGCAAACTTAAGATGTGATCGATGCAGCCTCGGTTCCGACGAAACCCAGCTTACCCTTCGCGGATCTGGCCTTCACGAACGGCTGGGCTATTCCAAAAACACCACCATTGTAGATAATCGGTGGAGATGGTGTTCGAGAATATGACGTATGAAAATTTGATCTATGTAACCACAGCCAGAACGAAAGCGAGCCTGTTCCTCATGACCCAAACTCTAGCGGGTAACTAGGAGCCTACGCAGCGGAATGGGCACAAGAAGCATAGATGCGACAGAGATAAGTGAGATTACGCGGTAGTTGATACATTCACTGCGAGAGCCATTCTTGTGGATCGGAACCACAACTGTTTCTCTTATGCGTTAGGATCCTTCTCATCGCTCTATACTTTTGCGAACAGTGATAGAATTTCGGTGAAAATATGTTCCCCACATCGTTGAATAAGGCTGGAGTAAGTGTCAAGGTCAGGAGCTTTGTGACATTTCAGAGTCTCGATTTCTTTCCGTATTTCTGCTTCAGTGGGAGGAGCTATGCAGACTGACCAAGGATCACATGATGGCAACGGATGTGTAACCGGAAGTTGTGTTTTGGCAATTAAACTGGAAAGTAAAGTGCCCTGCCCAGCGATCCAGACGTCTGCATAGGTTGGTGATCTTTGTACCGTCTAACGCACAGAGGGTCTGACTGATGGCCTGAACTTTGCGTCCGGCGGATCTGAGGAGATAAAACAACCTGCGGCTCGTGTCTGCAGTGGTAGCAACTTCCATTTGCTTGGCCTGTTTAGGCCACCAGGATTCACGGTCACGGCAAAGACTCACATTCAGTTGTCTGGAAATAGACCGGCGGAGCTCAGCGTATAGCTCGCAGATAGTCGAGAAGTTCCTTGGAGCTGGCCTAGATCAAGCTTTTACTTGTGCAACGAACAAGACCGCAATTGGAGAAAGCTGCTGCAAACATAACCTGTTGCAGTAGCGGCTAATGCTGATCAATGTCCCGAGGAGGGGGAGAAGTGTGTTTCTCACGAAGCTGTTTTGGATATTCCAATTACGCGGCGGGGTCTTCCAGTTTACCAGAGTTAAGCGGAGTTTGTCTAGTCCTAGGAGAGCCACGGAAACGCATGCAAACCGCCTCACGTACTAGCGCATGATCGGTTTCCAAGCATGCTGACCAATAGGATCGACAATCACTAATACTGCCACACCAGCGATGACTTATGGAGATGTGGTCAGTCTGTGCCCAACGTTGCGGGGATGATGGAGCGTGCCAGGTAGCGTAGTGACGTCCAGGGTGGTGAAAGTTCGTGCTGGAGGGGTGAAGTTGATGAACGACACAAATTGAGTAGTCTTTCTCCATTATCTGAGTGAAAGTCGTATCTATGCGGGCCTCTAAGTTGACGTTCACTAGGTAACAAAGGACCAACACGCGAGTTGAAATCCACACCATAATAATGAGGTCAGTCTTGGAGACCCTTAAGAGCAAATCATGAGGGATACAATATAATTGGTCCTTGACGGTATTCGGGTTACAGTCAGGGGAGCATAGGTGGAGATTACAAAAAGGGCACGTTTGTCTTCTCGACGCCTGTTAAACTTGCACGAGCCATGGAGCCTGACAGCACAAAGGCGACAGTTGATCGGAATCCACTCTAGAAGGGCGCTTCGGCTCTGGCAATAAGGGCGACCCCAACACCGGCTTTCCTAGAAGCCGTAGCCTCGGCGTCTCCAGAAAGTCGAAGGTGGAAACGGGTAGAAGGTTGAATTTGTGACGACAATGGGTAGACTATGCTGGAATTCTGAAGTCATGTTTCGAACAAACAACAAACAACACCTGCAAGAGTTTATAGCGCGCGCGTGACCGGCTTGTTGCTCAGTCTAAGGTACGCACATTGAACGCCACCGAGTTGAACGGTGTCTTCGGTTGCAGAAGCGGAGAGGAAAGAATCTGGAACTGTACAATTCCGGTTTGGTGCTGTATGATTATGTCAGAGGATGGAGCGGCAACAGTGATATTGGGGAAAGCGATGCTGTTCTTCCTTGATTGATCAGACAAAAATGGGGAAGAATGATACATATAAAAACGTGAAGAACTTTGCTAGCAAGGGGAAAGAAAAGATTGCAGCATATGATGCGGTTGAACGTTACAGCCCAAGATAGCTCCAAACAAATTCGGTGCTCGATTCGAACAATCGAACTCAACGTACCTTTCAACCTTCCGCACCGATCGCTTAAGCATACAATAAAGCAACAAATTTAATTAGAATTTCACACAGACAAACCGGGACGAGCTCCAAATTGCTACAGCCATTTAAACGTAAATGAACAGGGTTTCACAGTGCCGCTGAATTTGATTTACTGCTGATATATGCGATCATCCATGGAGAGCAAGTGCTATAATTGTTGCGTACGCAAAAACAGTGCTACTTACAACTTATGTGAGGATAGCACTTCTACTTTAAACAGTAAAATGTGTATCGTTTACATGAAAACGGCACCATAACGGACGCTGCTATGCAAACCGCTTTTTATGGCACCCTAAAACAGGACGCAATAACTATTTCGGTGTGCATTTTTCATAGAAACGTAGCAGCATTACTGAAGGACCCTATTTATATTATACATACCCCGGTAATACTAAATTTAATGCCTCAAGAGCGGCTGTATTGAATATGCAGCATCCTGATGCCGCCTGTTTGGTTTTCACTTAAACGTATTACGGAATTTTGTGGCTACTTCCGCATAAACAGCTATCTTTATTCTCCCCTGTGTTACAGAAACTGCAACAAAAGATTGACCGGATCACTCCATATGCGAATTCGCTCACTAAGAGTACACAAATCTTGCGAAGTTTGTACCTCTGGGAAAATCACCTGTACTCCACCGTCTTTCTTACTTCCGTCTGTTTCGCCGTACTATTCGTCCAACCATACATGTTGTTCTCTGGTTTGGTACTCGGTTTGATTTGCAGTCAAGTCCCAAATGTTATCCACATGAGACCCAACTCACAAGTACCAAGATCGCCCACTGTGCAACCGTACACAGACAGCGAAGATGTAAGTGTTGATTTCTTTTATTCGTCGATTTCCGGTGTTGTTGTGATGCAACGAAATCCATTTAATTTTCATACTGCATGTTTCTCGTTGCTTGGTGTTTATGCCTTTGTGTCAATGGCCGGTATGTTTACGATGGTTAACGTCTGAGAGAAATTCCCTTCACTATTCACGCACTTCTCTTTGTGAACGGTTCCGCCTAACTCTAATCGCAAATTCATCAGTCAGTTTGCTGTTTTGCATAACTGCTAGTCATTTTAAATAGTTACTGGCTTCTCACTAACCGTGTTCCGCAGCCTCAATAATATCTGCTATTGCACAAGTGGATGAAAATTATGTAGCAGTAAGCGTGGTTTCTGTTTTCATGGTCATTTGCGTTACAGTTCCCAGGACCATATTTGCCGGATGATCATTTTATCAGACAGAGAGTGAGTACCGGCCCATTCTTTACTTTGGTCCATGTGTGAGCTGTGAGCAATATAACAATAAAAATAGAATGCATGAGGCCAGCTTGTCAGTGTCGAAACCGGATTAGTCATAAAAGTCACAGACATGCTTGTCATGGAATGGTAGATGGAAGATGCGAACAATTGCGACTTAGACCGAGTTTTCCAATCCTCTCTGTCTGTCACGAAAAATTGGGAGTTTCCCAAAAAGCAAAAGATTCTAGCGTCACTGGTTTCTACGTGATACCCAACACACCGATTTCAGTAGAGTTTAATTGCGCCGGTTTTGAGTGCCAATTAACACTTCATAATCGTCACACCCTAAGCTATCTCGTAGACGTCTCCTCATAACTCCTATAAAGAATTCCTGGAGGGTTACTGTGGTTTTGCTTCTCGATCAGATACCAGCTAACAGATGTGCCAGTACCTTAAGCCTAGGACGCTGATAAATAGCTCATGCAGAAAACCTCCCAGTAGTGGTGTGCTATGAGGAGTAGCGATTACACCTCCTCTGTGCTGGATAGTGAGCTACGGATGAGTTTACTTTGGCCAGACGAGTTAAATCCAATACTATCGTAAGAGCCAGCCACATTTGATCACGCCTCAGGTGTGATAATCTCCAGTCAGGTTTATTCAGGTCAATCGTCTTACAGTTGCTGGACACCGGGTGGTTTTATGCAATTAAGTATAAGGTTGGCCGGTAAGTTGCGGTTACCTATGTTTTTATGCCTCTAACGTCTTCCTGTCTGCCAAGTCACTTTGGCCTCTTAACTATAGCCACAGCCAACATAATTCGCTTCTCAGGTTTATGTACATTTAACTCTACCCACGAAATACTTGGCTTTGTTAGGCCCGTCTATTAGTCTACCGTAGTGCGTTGATAAAACTGCAGCATCCAAATCTATTTTCCATAAAGATGGCACATGGAAAGCATGTCCAGTAGACACACTGTTAGCATATTGAAAGGTGTAATGTTCTGGTCACTGTTGCTAATTGAATTGTAGCAACTGTTATCATTTCAAGGCGGGTGAGCCCAAGGTGCACTAAGACTAGTGGTGGCGAGATTCTGACAGATCGCCAACCCGCTGCTGCAAATGTAGTGCTATGGGCTTATGTCCGGAAGGCCTCGCAGCGACCGCTGGGTGGGAGTTTGTTGACACTCTTCTTCTACCTGAGATCCAGGACACACAATTCCGCATGAGTCGGTTCACTGACTCATGGTGCTCGACACGTTGCTTTTCTGGTGTGTACTTTATCGAAAAATTTGGCTGAGGACCCTAGTCGTTCTCCTGTCAGGTGTGGACGCTATGGCAGTGTCCTAGTCCAACTCCCAAACATGTATCACGCCAAGCATAAAAGTCCATACTGCATTGGCCGTCGCGCAGTGGCCTAAGGAAAAGGGTCGCTTTATCTGCTGCATTCAGCGGGGTGGATATGCGAAAAGATGCTACTGCGGGTGCCTCCGCGCTTTCTTCTTCGTCTGCACATACTCTCCCCGTCCCCATTTCACATAACCCACTACTTCCTCCAATCCACGTTATCACCACCCATACGGGGGCCCGCCAACGCAATCGTATGTCTCCGCGCAACGCGCTCAACATCGTGCGCTGGAACACGCGCACACTGCTCGACCAGAAGACGAGTGAGCATATCGAGCGACGCACTGCACTAGTTGCGATGGAACTGGCGCGATACAACATAGATATTGCGGCGCTCAGCGAGACCCGGCTCGCTGAGCAAGGTAAGTTACATGAAGCTGGTGCCGGCTATGGGTTCAACTGGGTGGGAAACGCCACCTCATCACCACGTGAACATGAGGTCGGATTTGCACTGTTCCATCGCTTAAATGGCCAGCTGGTGGGTGGGCCCATTGACATCAGCGCGTAACTAAGAAGTGTCCGACTACGCCTTAGAAAAGATAAGGTTGCCAATTTTCTAAGCACGTACAGCCCGACCATATACTATCCTGATGACACGCGTGATCAATTCTACCCTCAGCTATCCTCCGTGATACGGTCTGTGTCGATGAGCGACCGACCATTTCTTCTGCGTGATTTACAGGTGCGCGCTGGGCTTGATGCATCAGTGTGAACATATCTCATCGGTTCGCATGGCGTTGGTTCATCGAATGCGAACGATGACAGGCTGTTCTCGCTATGTACCATTGACGGTCTGACGGTCAGTAACATACAGTTTGCGCTGCTTGCGAGTGATCTAGCAATTTGGACGTCCCCATGGAGTGATCACGCTCACCTGCTCGACTATGTCATCGTACGTCAGTGACATGCTTGAAGTGCGCATGACACATGCACTGCATGGAGCTGAGGGTAGCATTGATCACAAGTTGCTGCGGACCAAATCGTACATGTACTTGTGGAAACCTACGTGAACCGGAGGCGTAACTTTAACACTTTCTCCCTCGATATTGTGGCGCAACGTATTGAGCTGGAGAAGGCGATGGCTGCATACCTGTGTGATGTGGAATGTATAGTCACAGTGGGCGACATCTGGCACGACGTTCGCGACGAGGTGACAGCTGCTGCTGAGGAGACTATCGGGCGCGCAAACTGTAAGCGGCCTGATTGGTTTGACGAGAACAAGCGACGATTGGCGCATTGATGTCAGAGCAGAATGCAACATTTGCTGCACATGTGGCAGACTCCAGTGACTTGTGGAAGAACAGCCAATTTCGCAGCATTCGAAGGCGATCGACTCGAGAGTTCCGTCGCATTAAAAGTGCGTGATTGACGGAGAAGGCGAAGCAGATGGAATGCTACGCCAAACGTCGTTAACACAAGGAATTCTTCGGATCCTTGAAGGCAGTGTATGAACCGAGGTTGGAGCCGCTTAGAACGCCGCACAATGGTGGTTCTGGCACTGCCATAACACCGACTACAGACATAACGTCGATCTGGCTAACGCGCTTTGACTGTCGCTTGAACAACTGTTCAGAGATTGGCTGGCGCATATTAAACGGCCTGAAGCAGCACGAGGTGAAGGTGAGTTTGACGGACACGCCGACAATGGATGAGACACAGTGAGCACTTGCTCAGCTGTGAAACGGCAAGTGTGCCGGTGCCGACGGGATCTCGCCTGAATATTGAAACACGGCGGACCCGCGTTGGTGAACGCGCTGCACTAACTGGTGCAACGGTGTGAATTGAGGAGGAGGTGCCTCCTAAACTGAAGGATGCTTTTGTGCCCACACCGTGCAAGGACAATGGATGCAAGCAATGTGCATTAATTATCGTAATATCAACTTACTGTGGTGTGGGACAAGGTGATTGCCCGAATTCTGCTCAACCGCTTTGTCAGTCAGGTTGTGGAACCAAACGTGGAAGAAGAGCAACGTGAATTTTGTTCGGGATGCAGCACCATCGATCTGAGGTTTGCGGCTCGTCAGTTGCAGGAGAAGTGCAAAGAACGACACCAGCCGTTGTACTCGCTGTTTGTTGACTTCATCAAAACATTTGATACGGTGAACCGCGAGGCATTGTGTTGGCTGAGTTGGGTAAATTTGATTGTCCGAGTAAGTTTGTAAATTTAATTGAATGTCTGCACAGTGGTGTGCGGGCGAGGGTGCAGCTGAGTGGACAGATCTCAGATGACTTGGCAGTGGTCCAGTTTGAAGCAGTGCCGTGTCTTAGCTCCTGCCCTGTTTAATATTTCTCTTCATGCCATGATGTCTTGTGCATTTGATGTGGCTTGTGCTTATAGTGTTCGTGTGGGGCACCGTGTTAATGGTGAGTTTCTGTACATCCGTCGTTTTGCTGCGAAAACCCTAGTCTGTGAGACAACTTTTCGTATGCTGCTGTTCGCTGACGACTGTGTGTTGTTTGCACTCAGCGTGGATGAGTTGCAGCACATGACCAGTGCCCTGGCTTCGAGGACGTCGAAGTTCGGCCTCACAAGTCTCACGAACAAAACTGTATGTCTCTTTCAGCCTTCACCGGAAGTGCAATCTGCAATGGTGCCGCAAATCAGGGTTGCAGATGAGGTATTGGAAAACACTATCCGCTTCTGCTGCCTTGGGAGTGTGATGTCGACTGACCAGCAGCTACACAGTGAGCTTCGCATCCTCGTATTGAAGGCAGCGGCGGCATTCGGCAGACTAGAGCACCGGGTGTAGAGTAACCATCAGATTACCGTCGACGTGAAGCTGATGGTGTACAAATCCATGGTGCTGTCCGTTGTTCTATACGACATGGAAACGTGGAAGACGTACCGGTGGGATGTACGATAGTTCGAGCGGTTCCATCTGCAGTGTTTGCGACGGATTTTGCGCATCGGTTGGTGAGACAGAGTTGCAGACACGGAAGTGTTGCGCCGAGATGGAATGTATGCGGTGGACTGCTTTTTTTCTGAGACACCTGAGATGTGCCGTGTGCACTAGATGCGAATACGGAAGCGGTTGTTATATGGTCAGTTGAATGCAGGGAAGAGGCATGCGGGGCACAGCAGCTTCGTTACCAGGACATGATCAAGGGGAGCTTATCAATGTTATCTCATTGATTTCAGGTGTTGGGAATCGAAATAGGTTGATCGGCGTGCATGACA